GMTGCTGSKSRGSWRSTAACAACAAAAAGAGAAAAATGCTCAAGCTATTCATGCAATATCACCTGTCCCAACAAAAGAGAGTGTGTTCTAGAGTCAGTGTAAGACCAATGGATCTTCACTGGTGTTACATCTTGTTGGCCTGGCTTGATATGAATCTGCTTCAGAGGAGGTTTTACTAGTAGTAGTAGTTCAAAGCAACAATCACCTCAAATAATTTTGGTTGGTCTTGAGAATGGCRGAATTTATGCTCCCTTCTTTGTCAGGAACACAATCAGCAAAAATKGATTTGCTTTTGTTATCCAATATGTTCATTCACAGCAGATACCAGCAAGCCAGCAGTAATCACACTGGTGACAAACCCCTCTGCAAAATCAGAGCTGTGGTGATGGGGAAAATGATGATGTCTGCTGGTGGTAGACTACTTGCAGTCTTCTTTCTTGTCATGGTGGGTGGCATGCAAGAAACAATAGTCTTGATCTGTCTGTTGATGAGTCTACAACAATTAGCTAGTATTTAACAAGGAAGACAAGCAATCCGGTTTGTCCAGTATCTTCCTAAGAAGCCAATCAAGCATTGAGATCTACACAGGTGTTAGTAGTACCGTACGTAGTGGGTTCACCTTGGATGTTATTCCGCAGTTGATAATTCATATCCGGGTCAATCATTCCATAGGGACAGAGACAGGACAACGCATTCTGACAAACTCTACAACAAAGGCTGTGGTCGATTTGTAAGTCGCGCAGCAATCTCCTTCACAATGGCATCACAAGTCGGCGGCAGCACGAATGCTGCTTCTACCACCACAGATGGATACCAAGAACCGTCCGACGTTTTGAAACGTTTGTTCTTGCCCCCAAAGACGCCGTCTCTCGTGCTGTCGGGCGATTCGCGTTGGCTGATATCGACCGAGGAGCCACCCCTGCCGTCGATCGAGTTGCTCTCCAAGCCGGAAGAGAAAYTGGCGGGGTTGCGATTCGATCCGGTCCTGTTGGCACCCTCGCGTCTCCAATATTCGTTTGGTCTCAAGGCCCAGTACCTGTCACTACAACCGGYAGCAACGTCGACTTCGGAACAAGTCGAAAGCCCTTCACAAGTAGCGCAAGAAATTCCCCTCCCGTCGGACAGCGAAGGCATTCGCTAYATTCGATTCAATCCAAATCCTCCGGAGTACGCACAGCAACAATTTGTCTTTGCGAGCAAAAAGAAAAACGAAAATGTGTTGGAGCTATACGTCTGCAATTTGGTGGCCAAGAACGAACAAGAGAATGTGCGCTGGACAGTGCACCCCGTCTCGGCACTGAATGAAAGGCGATTGAACTTCGTCAACGGCTGCGCCTATCAGTTTTCCTCTGACGGAAGATTCTTGTTGTGCAAGGTTGTTCCGGAGGGGCACCCGTCCGAAGCTCCTATCTCGGAGTCGCCCGCAGGTGTCGGCCCCTCCATCCAGACGGTCACCGAAGGCGCACGAAAGGCACCTGGACGAACCTACCAGGATCTGCTGAAAAACAAGCACGACGAAGAAAAATTTCGATACTATCTTACGACAGAACTGGTGAGCCTCGAGCTGGAGAAAAGTGCCACGAGCTACGACTCTGCCGCTGTCGTAACACAATCCAGGGGTGGTTTTATTCCCTGCTCCATGGAGACCAGCCCGTGCGGGAGGTATCTTCTAGTGGAGTCTATCACAGAATTATCCTATTCTGTTCCCTTTCGTCGCTTTGGAAAAGAAGTTTCTGTTTGGGATTTGAAACAGAATACAACCGCTACCAATGATAGCATTCTAACCGTTGCATCCATTCCGGTAGACGATGAAATTCCATTAAGCTACGACGCGTGTTCGAGACATAAGCGTGGGTTTCGATTCCATCCGTGCCTTCCACACACCCTGATTTACGCCCACGCGCTGGACGAAGGAGATCCTGCAAACAATCCGATGGCGTGCGAAGACGGTAGCTTCCGCGACGCTGTTTATACACAAGACATCGTGCCCAACAAGTCTCCGGAGGATGACGGAGCATCTGTGCTTAAAGAGCCTGCCTTGTCGCTGCAAGAGCCCGTAACTTTGTGCCGATTAGAATGGCGCTATGACGACATCGACTTCACGGAATCGGGGATCATTCTGGTAGACGAGTATCGATGGAATGATCGAATGGAGCGGAAATGGGGACTACATCCAAAACCCACATCTCCAGGTAGCAACAGCGGTACGACAAAGCATGCAACCACCGACACCACAAAAACTCTGCTTTGGGAACGGTCGTGGGAAGACCGGTACTCGTCTCCGGGAACGCCGGTCCGAACACGAGGGCGGAACGGCAAGTATTTTGTTCGCGAAGCAAAGAACACTCCGGGAACTATCTTCTTGAGGGGAATGGGAGCCTCTCCGCTTGGGGACAGACCGTTTTTGGATCGCATGGAACTGGCCACTGGTGCAAGAGAGCGACTCTGGAGGTGCAAGGCTCCCCGAGAGGGAGAGATTCCGAAAAATAATAACGATGATGCTCCCTCTGAGGTAGGAGGCCGAACGCCCGCCCCTGACGAACGCGACGACGTGTACGAAACGTTTGTCGTGATAATGGAGGACCAAGATTCGATCCTGATCAGTCGCGAGAGCAAAACAACGCCTCGGAATTACTACCTAACGTCCTTGAGCAAACCAGGCACTGAATCTACCGTCACTGCATTTCCTCACCCCCAACCCGACTTGATCGGGGTTTCAAAGGAATTAGTCCAATACAAACGAAAGGATGGTGTGGACCTAACCGCAAACCTTTATCTTCCAGCCGATTACGATGGAACCCCACGACCAACTTTGTTTTGGGCCTATCCGAGGGAATACAAAAACTCCAAGGCGGCAGGTCARATCAAGGGAAGCAAACACAAGTTCGTTTCTGCTCACTGGGCATCACCGATTCACTGGACCGCGAAAGGATGGGCTGTCATGGACGATTTCTCGATGCCCGTTATCGGAGAGGGAGATGCACAACCGAACGACACCTTCATCGAGCAAATTGTTGCGGGTGCAACGGCGGGCGTGGAGTACGCAGTCCAGCGCGGGGTTTGCGATCCTGACAGATGTGCTGTTGGGGGACATTCCTACGGAAGCTTTATGACGGCGCACTTGTTGTCTCACACTAGTCTGTTTGCGGCCGGCATTGGAAGGAGCGGGGCCTTCAATCGYACCCTCACCCCCATGTCGTTCCAATCGGAGGATAGAAGCATCTGGGAGGCCCCGGACACGTACATTACCATGAGCCCCCTAATGCATGCCAAGAAATACTCCGAACAGGACCGCGTGGGGAAGATGTTGCTGATCMACGGCGCCGAGGACGAAAATTCCGGAACTTATCCGCTCCAAAGCGAACGCTACTTTGCCGCCCTGAAGGCTTTTGGTATCAAGTCTCGGCTCTGTGTGCTCCCTTATGAACGCCACTCGTACCGGGCGAAAGAGTCCATCCTACATATGGCCTGGGAACAAGAGGAATGGTTGAGAAGTTTGGAATAAAAACGGGCGGATGGTGGCGATCAATTCTGACACAAACCCTGGAGAAAAACCATATGTCAGCATAGGGGCTGCTGTTGTATCTCGAGGTAGAACGAGTAACACGAACTGTTGGTCTTTTCTTCAGTATTTGCACTTGAACTTCTGTTTTCTTGTGCCACAATTAAAGCTTTTTGAATAGTGATATGAACGATCGGAATAATTGAATCACTAAGACCTAATATATGATACAATGAACGCATASACAAAAAGTAATMAAAAATTCTTTCAAGTTACATTTTCAATRTTTTATCGAACTGATGTTTCATATTCATTTGCTGTTGGCCAAATAATCTTTATCTTATTTTGCRCATTCGCATTGCAACGCAACCGTTTTGTGGTGCTCAGTTATGGGCTGCGGGGTGTTTCAGTAGRACATATTATCAACGAGACTCATCGTACGAGAGATCATCAGAGTGAGTCAGGTACCGAGAGTTGAAGTCAACATGAACAATGTTGGGAATCACGAAGGCCCTTTCTCGTCGTCGTCGTTCGACGTCGAGTTCAGGCCGCTCTGAGGGGTTGCAACTGCATCTGGTCAGAACCGAACTATCGAACCTGGAAAATMAATCGCGGTCGATGAATTAYTTTGGATGACTGTGGCTTTCTTTTATTCCGTGTCCTGAAGAGTCGACAGGAACATTTCCTCCATTTTCRCCAGAAGTGGTTTAGCGKCAGGCAGATTCACGTTGACGCACCCGACAGCCGCTTGGTACTTGATCTCGTAGTGGTCTTGCCAACAATCTGTGATCCTCCACATATTCTCATTTGTGCTAGTAAAGTAGCACGCAAACCCCTTCTTTTTCAATCGCATGATAAGATCATTGARTGAATGATCTGCCCAATTTGCGTACCAGTGGTAATTGAAATCGATGTACTGGATGTTCTTCAGACTTTTCGCCGATCCCATCAGGATTTCGTAATCGGACGTTTCCGCGGTGATGCTCAGGATGTTGATCAGGGGAGTCCTCTTAGTKGTGGACAACGTCGAGCTCAATTTTGGATGCTTCTCGATCCAACCATCGATGGTCGTTGTCGGCACGCGAACGCAATTTTTGTTTACATTTTTGTGCTTGTGCCGCTCGCAAGTTTGTGCCCAATGATGCAACCCAACCCCCATTGAACCGATGCGCTCATCAGTAGTGACCAACTTTCCTAGGTCCATATCGTCCTCGTCGAAATTGGCGCCCACGACCAGGTTCGAAAGATGCAGTTCCTCGTCGCTGTATCCCAACGCGTCCCTGGTTTCTACCAGTTTCGCAAAGGTTTTGGGCGTGGCCTCGAGGCAATAGACCTCGGCGTTTTGTATGCGACCGCTTCTGTTGGAAGTTGCCATGCCATCGGCCTTGCAATCGAYGGAAGTATCGAAATGGGTATCGATCTCACCTTCGGAGCTTCCCATTTTTAAGAATTCTTCCTTCCATTGCGAGAGGTTATACTTTTCGTTGGGAGGCGATGCAATCCGAAGCATTTCTACGGCTTCGTATCCTTTGTTGCATCCCACAATAATACCCCTAAAGGTTGGATCGTCGTCAGAAGATAACGACTGTGGAAGGTGTATAAAGTCATAAAACCAGTGAGGGTTCCCGTTCCCGCAGTGTGTCTCCTTGGCGAAGGAACACATTTTTGTCTTCCATGGTTTTTTKGCATTCTCTTCGCACCCCTCCGGTGGGAGCTGTTTGTGCAGGACAGCGAACTGCTCATCGGTGCAAGTAGGAGGAAATCCAGGCATCGATTCCGTTTTTGTGTTGGCGGTTGTAGTTGCATGTGAATCGCTCGTATGTGCACTTTTTGTAATCGCAACTCCGGCTGCTGCAGCCGTTTTGGGAACGRCAGCCGGTGTAACACCGGGCTCGGGTGGGGTTGCGTTGAAGGGAGCCGTATCCATCGTAGCGGTAGGAGGATTCAATGTCGAATTATCTTGCTGGTATATACAGGMAGGTTGGAGGAGAAAGACGCACATATGGGCCATCGCAAAGCCCACCCCCACAATCAAGACAGCGCCCATTGCAGTGGCATATCCCTCGAGTTCCAATGTTCTGATGTGTTCGATGTCGTCTCCCTCTCTCCTTCTTCTACGAAAGATACTGCGCTTCACCATGATGTGCATAAATGTATTTGAATGTATGTATGCTCCCAGTGCGAATCATTCGGTGTTGATAGAGAGGACAGAAATGCTACGGTGTGGTATGTCTGTCGAGTAGAGTGTGTTGCACCGTACGGTACAGTATTCGAATTTTACGATACGGTACCGGTAGATGGCAGGAGTACGACTATTCTCTCAAAAAGTGGACTAAAAGTATTATGTTCTGCCTACAGCATCTTGCATCGCACGGTACCGTACGTAAACGTACCSTACGACTCCACTGGGGGTCATAATTTAATAGAGATGCGCATCATCTACCTTTTTTTTTTTACAAGAATCTACTTCCTCCGTCCGACAATGACCGTCCGGTAACTGCAATTTTACTGTCCRGATTGCACGGATATGATAGTGTGAGACAGTAAACAATTACCGTATGAAATAGTTTCATTTAACTCATTGCACCCCTAATTAAACAAGACTGTGTACAATACGTAGAATCAGTACCAGATACTAGAAATGAKCATGCGGTGAATAAAAATTAATTTTTGACAAATGAAAATACACCCTATTAACACRGCAAATTCAATTTTGACAATGGTATGGTGCACCTTTTTGAATACTAATGACCAATATAAGAAATCAAACAATACTAATCTGAAGTATAGTCTCAAATAATACTAAGTACTGTATTCAATATCATGTGCAAGTAGCGGCTTATCAAAATGACCGTTGGAACCCTCTCAACCAGTTGTTTWAAAAAGACATTTAAAAATAACCCCATTAGAAGCTTTATAACTTTATTATTGCTTGTGTGACAATAAAAGGCATTACACATTCAAAAAGTATTAAACAAGAGCAATAGAATAACAAAGAATCATCCAAATAGCCCAGCAACTATCAAGCTTATTTCAGTAGTAAACGTGTTAGGGGACAATCATTTCTGGACGGAGGAAGTAGTATGTACTGTACCTGGTGGTACCGTACACTACGTACCGTACGTGAGTATGGTCCTGTGTTGGAACGATGTCGTACTGGAACRAGTAAAATGATCCAAATGAGAAAGGCATACTACTACGCGTAAAATAACAATTGAAACTACGTTAATGGAGGCATTGGGAACGTTAATTTMACAYACCGAATAGTATGGAATGTTAATTTAACGTACAGAATGTTAAATTTTTCACGTAGGCTTACGTAGATCCTAGTATTATCCACATTCTTCATTCAGTCTTGCACGTGCCTAAAAGAGGAAGAAGGGATCTGAAAAAGAGGAAGAAGACGACGCCTCCCCTGCTAATATTCAGATTGTTAAGCAAATATTCAGATTGTTAAGCAAAGCATTCAGGACATTAAATTGAAGCAAAAAACACAGTACTCATTTCTACGCAGCCTACACTGGCAACATTCGGAATGYTAAATTAACGTTCCCAATGCCTCGTCCATTAACGTAGTTTTTCAATTGTTRTTTTATGCGTAGTAATGGAGGAGGCATTGGGAACGTTAATTTAACATTCCRAAYGTTACCAGCGTAGGCTGCGTAGAAATGAGTACTGTGTTTTTTGCTTCAATTTAATGTCCTGAATGCTTTGCTTAACAATCTGAATRTTAGCAGGGGAGGCGTCCTCTTCTTCCTYTTTTTCAGATCCCTTCTTCCTCTTTTAGGCACGTGCAAGACTGAATGAAGAATGTGGATACTACGCGTTTCATARCAATTGAAATCGACCTYGAAAGAGAGCAAAAAGTAATAATTTCAAGTTCTWAACTTCCATTTGAAGTTATGAACTTCAAATGTCCTGGTAGAAAGTMTACRAGGTTCTACTGAGCTAGTTTTTGGATGGCATTCATGATTGATTCATGATTGAATCAGCTCAAACCATTTTTAATCGCCCTGAACCATTTTTTTTGTTTTGAGGGGGCCCGGGAATCCATTCAGCCATTCAGCAGTCATTTTAAAAACTAGCTCAGTA